GGATTGAGTCCCATATCAGGCTCGAGTCTGCTTCTCCCTCTACCCCTCCCCCACTCATGCTTGCTTGTGCGTTCTCTTCCAAATAAAATCTTTAAAAAACAAAAACAAGCCCCACCAATCTGCTGCCTACAAGAGACTCACTGCAGACACATACAGACTGAAAAGTGAGGGGATGGAAAAAGAATTCCCATGCAAAGGGAAGTTGGGGGGGGGAAGTGGGGTACAATGTTTCTATCAGTCAAAACAGAATTTAAAACAAAGACTGTAGCAAGAGACAGAGGGCAATTACATTTTAATAAAGGGCTCAATCCCACAAGATGCTTATAACAACTATAAATATTTATGCACCCAACAAAGGAACACCTGAATATATAAAACAAATATTAATGGATGTAAAGTGAGAAACTGACAATAACGCACTAATACTAAAGGACTTTAACACCAACTAATATTAATGGACAGATCATCTGGAATGAAAATAAATAAGGAAACAGCAGCTCTGATGACACAAGAAAGATCAGAGCAGAAATAAATGAAAATAGACACTTAAAAAATAAAAGATCAATGAAACAAAGTTTTTCTTAAAAAAAAAAAGGCAAAACTGACAAATCTTTAGCCGACTCATTAACAAAAAAAGACTCAAATAAAACCAGAAATGAAAGAGAAGTTAAAACAGACAACATAGAAATATAAAGGATAAGAGACTACTACAAAAAATTACATCTAACATATTGGACAACCTAGAAGAAATGGATATATTCCTAGAAACATACAATCTTCCAAGACTAAATCAACTGGGACTACATCCAACTAAAAGGGTTTTGCATAGCAAAAGTAAACCATCAACAAAACAAAACGGCAACCTACTGAATAGAAGATCTTTGCAAATGATACACCTGATAAGGGATTAACATCCAAAATACATAAAGAATCCATACAACCCAACAGCAAAAACCTAATAATCCAATTTGAAAATGCACAGAGGACCTGAATAGACATTTTCCAAGAAAACATACAGATGACCAACAGACACATGAAAATACAGATACTCAACATCACTCATCATCAGGGAAATGCAAATCAAAACCACAATAAGATATTGCCTCCCACCATTCAGAATGGCTAGTATCAAAAAAACCATAACAAGCTTTGGTAAGGCTGTGGAGAAAAGGTAACTCTCACGCACTGCTGGTAGGATTGTAAATTGGTGCAACCATTATGGAAAACAGTATGGAGGTTCCCTAAAAAATTAAAAATAGAAATACCATATGACCCAATAATTCTACTTTTGGGTATTTATCTGAAGAAAATGAAAACACTAATTTAAAAAGATATTATGCACACCTATATCTACCACAGTATTGTCACTGACCCTTGAACAACGTGAAGGTTAGGGTGACTGACCCCTGCACAGTCAAAAATCCCTGTATTATTTTTGACATCCCCAAAATTTAATTAGTAACAGCCTACTCTTGAGCAGAAGCCTTACTGATAACATAAACAGTCCATTAACACATACATTGTATGCTATCTGTATTCAAAGGTAAACTATATTTACAATAGGCAAGATACAGAAGCAACCTAAGTGTCCATCAACAGGTGAATGGTTAATTTCATTTTGAAGGATGTTTGCTGGTTTCTGTTGTGAAAGAGTTGCATTCAATACCAGCTAAGACTCATCCTGATCTCAGCTTTTTGAGCTAATAATCAGGGAACCTGATTTCAAAAAAATAACACAAGAAGGGTTTTCAAGTAGATTCTGCATATGCTTCTGTTTGTTCTATGCTGCAAACAATATTGTTACTTGGCAATGTTTTGATGGCTTTGTTCTCAGGTCATATGCCTATTTCTCTTGCAAAGACAAGATTGTTACTAGCACTGTGAAATAAGTTGGACAGAGAAAGACAAATACCATATGATTTCACCCATATGTAGAATCTAAAAAACAAAACACATGAACAAACAAGTAAACTTAAAAAGAAACAGACTCATACATACAGAGAACAAATCAGAGGTTGCCAGAGAGGAGGTGTGGAGGGGAATGGGTGAAATAGATGAAGGGAATTGAGAGGTACAAACTTCTAGTTGTAAAATAAATTAAGTCATGGGGGGCACCTCGGTGGCTCAGTCGGTTGAGGGTCCACTCCTGATTTTGGCTCAGGTCCTGATCTCAGGGTGATGGGATCGAGCCCCGTATCAGGCTCCAGACTGGGTGGTATGGAGCCTGCTTGAGATTCTCTCCCTATGCCCTTCCCCCCAAAAAATAAAAGAAAATAAAGTCACGGAAATGAAAAGTACAGCATAGTGAATATAGTCAATAATATTGTAATAACTTTGTGTGGTGACTGTGGGGAACTACACTTATCATGGTGAGCACTGAGTAATGTATATAACCGTCAGATCACTATGTTATACACCTCAGACTAATATTAGTCAACTATACTTCAATTTAATAAATCTCCTGCTGGGGCACCTGGGTGGCGTAATCTATTGACCATCTGACTCTTGGTTTTGGCTCGGGTCATGATCTCATAGGTCATGTGATCGAGCCCCTTGCTGGGCTCCACACTCAGCATGGCGTCTGCTTGAGCTTCTCTCTCCCTCTCCCTCTGCTCCTCCCCCACACTCTAAAATGAATAAATCTTTAAAAAAAAAAATAAAAAATTAAAAAATTAAAAATCTCCTGCCTTAAAAAAAAAAAAAAAACTTACACTTCATTAAAGAATGCAGCTCTCACCTCCATCACCCTAATTTCCTTCTCCGCTTTACTATTCTTCAAAGAACTAGTCACGTTTTAATATACCATATAATTTACCTACCTGTTTACTGTTTCTCTCTTCCGCTAAACCTAAGGTCTAAGAACGTCTGGGTGTCTTTCTGCTGTGGGTTGACGGTTCTATCTCTACCACCTAGAACTGTGTGCCTCGACCACAGCAGGTGCTCAATAAATACTAAATGAATGAATGAGTGAATGAATGAGTTACTGGAAGGGCCTGAGAGGGTCCACGAACTCTATGAAATTATAGTAAAGGGCCCACAGCTTTCATGAGATTTCAAAAGGGGTCAGGATTGAAAAGAGCTTCAGAACCACTAGCCTGGCAAGTTCTTAGAGATTCAATCCAATTTCTAGATTATCTCCAAATCCTTAGAATGCATAGATGTATTTCTGCCTTCATGTGATCCCTCATTTCCCATGTGAAATAAAAAACTAAAGTTACCATTGCTTACTTCTGCAGTTTTAGAACCTCTGGCTCAGAAAACCGGAAGAAGGGTGCTTGGGTGGCTCTATCAGTTCAGTGTCGGGTTCTTGCTTTCGGCTCAGGTCATGATCTCAGGGTCATGAGATCGAGCCTCATGTTGAGTCTGCACTCAGTGCCCAGTCTCCTTGGGATTCTTTCTCTCCCTCTGTCCCACCCCCGACTCGTGCACACATGCTCTCTAAATAAATAATTTTTTTTTTTAAAAGGGGGAAGAAATATACCCCAAAGAGGCAGCCTATCCATCTTGGCCTCCAGCCCTACCCCTCCTCTTCACAGCTACGTTCCATGTTGCTCTTCATATGGGTTCTCCAGAAGGAGAAAACAAGTGGGGGGGGGGGGTTCTTGTTCCTCCCATTCTCAAAACTGAAACATGTAGTAAGGTTTTATCTACTAATGCCCAGGCTCATTCTAATAAGGTGTTGGAAAAGTATTATTCACATTAATCAATTTGTTAATTACGATTAATACTGTGAACATTCCTTAGCATCAACGTGAAAACATCAGGGTTTTTTTGTTGTTGTTGTTAATCCTGTATCTTTAAAAAAAAGGGGGGGTGGGCGCCTGGGTGGCTCAGTTGGTTAAGCGACTGCCTTCGGCTCAGGTCATGATCCTGGAGTCCCGGGATCGAGTCCCACGTCAGGCTCCCTGCTCAGCAGGGAGTCTGCTTCTCCCTCTGACCTTCCCCCCTCTCATGTGCTCTCTCTCTCTCATTCTCTCTCAAATAAATAAATAAAATCTTTAAAAAAATTTAAAAAAGAAACATTTACCAAGGTGAAAGATCTCCCACCATCACCCCACCCCCCCCATTCCCCAACCACCTCCACCCCTATTGCCCTTCCCACCACAGATCAAGCCGTCAAGGATGCCCCCACCCTTTTCATCCCATCCCCTACTTCCAATATCAAGTTCCCTCTCTCCCCACTCCCCACAAAGCCTGCCAGGACAGGGTTGGTAGAAAAGAGAGGCCAGAGGAGACAGGTGGCGGAGAGGGGCAAGAAATTAAGAAAGGTGGAAGGAGGGGGGGAGAAAAGGCTCTTGCTATTCATTGCCACCCACCCCCTGGCAAATATAATTACACTGCTCTAATAAACTGTATGCCAAATGTTAATAAGTTTCACCCTAGGTAAAACTCACATATTTAAAGGTCAGTGACCTACTGCCAATTTTTAAAGGTCTGGAAAGGTTATCTGAAGACTTTTTTTATAGCTTTAGCAGCTCTATCCAAGGATGGCAGGGGAAAAAAAAAAAAAAGCCAAGCACTCTGGGCAATGCCTTAACCTTCATAATTCATATTCCAAACACGCATCAGGTTCCGACTTTACGGCATATGTCCTGCACTTGCAGGACATGACCTTGTTCAATGCCATCACCCACCTGAAAACCACTGCCAAAATACTTTTCATCTTCTAGGCCCCGCTCAAGAGTCATACCGCCTCCTCTGGGAAGCCATCTCCAGCCCCACCAGCTAGAATCAATTGCTTCCTTTCCTATACTTCTACAACGCTCTGTTCCTACCTCTAGTTGCCACCAGATCAGAACTGGCTATTCATATACGTACTTTGTTGCTCAAATATGAACTCGAGGGCACCATATTCAATTGTCTCCCCAGAACCCAGCCCTAGGCCTTATCATATAAAAGGGGCTCAAATAACTAACTTGAGTGTCATAATACAATTCACAGAAAAATTAATAATCAGAGTAAATACGCAGCCCCCCCCCCCCAAGAAAACCAAATGCTACCTCCTTGGAACCTGGAACACCGCTGTGATCCTTTTCCATTATCAGCCATCTGAGAACATTTGGAATGGAGAGATTTTTCCAAGTTGGCCATGGGTTGACAAATCTGCCATCCTTCCCTTTCTTTGATTTAGTTACATCTTCCTCTAGTCTGTAATCCAGTTTGAAACTTTTCCTGGAAAGCCTAGAAGAATCACTTCCTACAGAGCTCCGGGCTGAATTTTGGCGCTTTCTTACTGCTTCTTTAGGATATTGGCTGCTTGTCATCAGGGACTGGCTGCTTTCATTTTCATCCATGTCCTTTTCAGAACTAAAAAAAATAGAAGGGGGGAAAATACTTTAACACAAAGGCATTAAAACTTATTACACAGCATCCGCAGTATTATTTCTTAGCCAGTAGAAATTTCCTCAATCGTATGAAAACAGTATATCTCTATCAGCTCAAGCTTTCTTCCTGCAAATACAATTTCTGAATCCAGTATTACTGCTTGCTAAATAGAAAAGATGTTTGCTTTACCTATTCCTGCCAAAGCTTTTAAATATTCCTTATCTGCTGTAATCCAAAGCAATGTCCCTCTACTAGGCAGCATTTAAACATAGGAAATTTTCCATTTCAATGATATCTGGTACAATTAAAGCACCTTTCTGAATCTGTAATATTTTCATACCTCAATTTTAAAAATATTATTGTTAAAAAGACACAGTGAGAAGGACTGCCTTAGTTCCTTGAGGATAACTTAGTACTTCCAGTGATTTACATATAACTCCACTAGGCCTAGCCATTTTTACTTTGAAGATAATCTGTTCCCAATTCCCCTAAAAAACGCACTGAGTTCAGATCTCAGGGAAGGAGACAACAACATTAATGGAGAGACATTTCGATAATGTATTTAAGTGTTTAACCATGCAAATTTGAATTAACTCAGATTTAGAGCTGCCAAAACAGTGCAGTGACCTTGGATAAGTTTCCTACCCTCTCTGGGCCTCGACTTCCTCCTCTATAAAATGGAGATAACAAAAGCACCTGCCTCTGAGGCTTACTGAGAGGTTTTCAAAAGCTAATACAAATAAAGCACTTAGAAACATGCATGTAACATGTATATTAGGCGTTACATGCATGTAACGCCTGGGTGGCTCAGTTGGTTAAGCGACTACCTTGGGCTCAGGTCATGATCCTGGAGTTCCAGGATCAAGTTCCGCATTGGGCTCCCTGCTCAGCGGGGAGTATGCTTCTCTCTCTGACCTCCCCTCTCTCATGCTCTCTCTCTCTCAAATAAATAAAATCTTTAAAAAAAATTTAAAAAAAAATGCATGTAACATGTATATAACAAATGTACCACATACACACAAGGCAAGAGCTCAACAAATGTTAGCTGTTGCTGTTGATCTTATTCCCACCACCACCATCACCACCACTTAACTCAAGGAACCAAAATCCTTAATTTGAGCTATGTAGGTACTCCAGACACTTAAAAGTGATAACATATCAAGAATATGCATTTATCCAGGGGCAAAGAGATGGCTGTCAGTTGAGCATCCAACTCTTGATTTTGGCTCAGGTCATGATCTCAGGGTCAGGCTCCATGCTCAGCAGGGAATCTGCTTCAGATTCTCTCTCTCTCTCCCTCTCTGTCCCTCCCCCTGCTCAAGCTCTCTTTCTCTCTCTCTAATAAATCTTTCCCCAAAAAAAGAATATGCATTAATCTGCCATGAATTTCATTTCTTTCCCATTCTATTAAACAAACATTTGCTTTCTGTCCAATTTAAATACAATGCACACACATAATACACTTCATAACCCTAACAAAATGAATACAACAGAAAGCCAAATATGTTTATGGCGGCAATGATGTTTAGCATAGAAATACCGTCCAGGAGGGAAAGGGAAAGAACGCAAAGGCTAGGGTGAACACGTACAATGAACTAAAACTATTTTTCCAAACCGTCTACAGTAAAATACTCTATGGTCTAGGGAATGATCAGTGTTAAGAAAGCACCGGTAGCAAAAGCTAAAGCACACACTGTTGCTGCTCAGCCACCACAGATTGCGGGAGAGCCTAATGGTTAAGAGAGCCTAACAAGCTTTCTATCTTAGGCAAATAACCACCTTTCTAGCCCTCAACTGTCTCATCTGTAAAACACCTACTTATCTCATGGGGATTCAGAAGATGAAATGACATAACGTCCATAAAAGGGTTGCCACTCACCAAAGGCTAATTCTTTTTTCCCCTAATCCTACTACATGGCCATATATCTCAATTCTTTAAATTCCATCAGAAAGCAAAGAATCTGGGTGAGTTATCTCAGTTCTCAAAGAACTGCTCTATAATTCCCTGGGTTATAATTGAGTTCAGGCCCAGGACTTTACAAAGGGCAAGAACAAAGACCAACCATTTAAACCCCACTTCATTTAACAGATGTAAATGCACCAAATTTAGAGACTTTATTTCCTGACAAAGTAATGTGTCTAATAGACGGCAGAACTGACTTGATGCTACCAACCCCTTGTGATGATAAATAGCTTGTGAGATATGTACATGGGCCTCTTTATATAGACACACACACACCCATACGTACATATATACACATATACATATAAATACATATATAATATTCCTACCAACTATGTAATAAATTTCTGGCTCATTGAAACACTCAGAGGATAAGGAGAAAGGAGAAATGGGCCCTCTGATTCAAAAACCACAAAAGCAAAGTCAAAATAGAGTTTTGATTAATGTACTGTATCACATTGATTGATTTGCGGATGTTGAACAAGAACCATATGATCCTCTCGATAGATGCAGAAAAAGCATTTGACAAAGTACAGCATCCTTTCTTGATCAAAACTCTTCAGAGTGTAGGGATAGAGGGTATATACCTCAATATCATAAAAGCCATCTATGAAAAACCCACAGCGAATATCATTCTCAATGGGGAAAAACTGAGAGCTTTCCCCCTGAGGTCAGGAACGTGGCAGGGATGTCCACTATCACCACTGCTATTCAACATAGTATTAGAAGTCCTAGCCACAGCAATCAGACAACAAAAAGAAATAAAGTGCATCCAAATTAGCAAAGAAGAAGTCAAACTCTCACTCTTTGCAGATGATATGATACTGTATGTGGAAAACCCAAAAGACTCCACCCCAAAACTGCTAGAACTCATACAGGAATTCAGTCAAGTGGCAGGATATAAAATCAATGCACAGAAATCAGTGGCATTCCTATACACCAACAACAAGACAGAAGAACGAGAAATTAAGGAGTTGATCCCATTTACAAAGGCACCCCAAACCATAAGATACCTAGGAATAAATCTAACCAAAGAGGCAAAGAATCTGTACTCAGAAAACTATAAAATACTCATGAAAGAAACTGAGGAAAACACAAAGAAATGGAAAAACGTTCCATGCTCATGGATTAGAAGAACAAATATTGTGAAGATGTCAGTGCTACCTAGAGCAATCTACACATTTAATGCAATCCCTATCAAAATACCATCCACTTTTTTCAAAGAAATGGAACAAATAATCCTAAAATTTGTATGGAACCAGAAAAGACCCCGAACAGCCAGAGGAATGTTGAAAAAGAAAACCAAAGCTGGTGGCATCAAAATTCCGGACTTCATGCTCTATTACAAAGCTGTCATCATCAAGACAGTATGGTACTGGCACAAAAACAGACACATAGATCAATGGAACAGAATAGAGAGCTCAGAAATGGACCCTCAACTCTATGGTCAAGTAATCTTTGACAAAGCAGGAAAGAATGTCCAATGGAAAAGAGACAAGTCTCTTCAACAAATGGTGTTGGGAAAATTGGACAGCCACATGCAGAAGAATGAAACTGGACCATTTCCTTACACCACACACAAAAATAGACTCCAAATGGTTGAAAGACCTCAATGTGAGACAGGAGTCCATCAAAATCCTGAAGAAGAACACAGGCAGCAACCTCTTCGACCTCAGCTGCAGCAACTTCTTCCTAGAAACATCGCCAAAGGCAAGGGAAGCAAGGGCAAAAATGAACTATTGGGACTTCATCAAGATAAAAAGCTTTTGCACAGCAAAAGAAACAGTCAACAAAACCAAAAGACAACCGACAGAATGGGAGAAGATATTTGCAAATGACGTATCAGATAAAGGGCTAGTATCCAAAATCTATAAAGAACTTACCAAACTCAACACCCAAAGAACAAATGATCCAATCAAGAAATGGGCAGACGACATGAACAGACATTTTTCCAAAGAAGACATCCAAATGGCCAACAGACACACGAAAAAGTGCTCAACATCGCTCGGCATCAGGGAAATCCAAATCAAAACCTCCATGAGATACCACCTCACACCGGTCAGAACGGCTAAAATTAACAAGTCAGGAAACGACAGATGTTGGCGGGGATGTGGAGAAAGGGGAACCCTCCTACACTGTGGGTGGGAATGCAAGCTGGTGCAGCCACGCTGGAGAACAGTGTGGAGGTTCCTCAAAAAATTGAAATATGAGCTGCCCTACAACCCAGCAATTGCACTACTGGGTATTTACCCCAAAGATACAAATGTAGGGATCCGAAGGGGTATGTGCACCCCAATGTTTATAGCATCAATATCCACAATAGCCAAACTATGGAAAGAGCCCAGATGTCCATCGACAGATGACTGGATAAAGAAGATGTGGTGTATATATACAATGGAATATCATGCAGCCATCAAAAGGAATGAGATCTTGCCATTTGCAACGACGTGGATGGAACTGGAGGGTATTATGCTGAACGAAATAAGTCAATCAGAGAAAGACGTGTATCATATGATCTCACTGATATGAGGAATTCTTAATCTCAGGAAACAAATTGAGGGTTGCTGGAGTGGTGAGGGGTGGGAGGGATGGGGTGGCTGGGTGATAGACATTGGGGAGGGTATGCGGCTGTGGTGAGTGCTGTGAATTGCGTGAGACTGTTGAATCACAGATCTGTACCTCTGAAACAAATAATACATTATATGTTAAAAAAAAAAAAAGATTGTAAGAAGGGAGAAATGAAGGGGGGTAAATCGGTGGGGGAGATGAACCATGAGAGACTACAGACTCTGAGAAACTGAGGGTTTTAGAGGGAAAGGGGGTGGCGGGATGGGTTAGCCTGGTGATGGGTATTAAAGAGGGCACGTACTGCATGGAGCACTGGGTGTTATACGCAAACAATAAATCCTGGAACACTACATCAGAAACTAATGATGTACGGTAATTAACATTAAAAAAAATAGAGTTTTGAGACAACATAGAGTGGTCCAATGCGGCTGGGACATAAGAAGTAAGGAAG